ATTTAATTTCGCACAAATTTTTGCGAATGCGTACTACCGAACGCGTGCATATTTGCAGCATTATGAAGAGTTAATCCAGTTGAGATAGAAAATTCACCAGTACACAACCACAGACACACACGTACACACGTGCATATCAATTCACCATCTGTCTACTGGCTTACTATTAGGGTAGAGTCATCGTGACGAAAGCGTCCCACCGCACAGACAGACTAGTGTCAAGCTGTTTGATCACAACCGCTTCAGCCTATCGCAACACATGAGTAGTACAGTATAACTTCCGTAATTTAACCACCCAAAGGACTGGACCTATGTGGTCAACATAGTGAGGTGGTCCACATACGGTAGTTCTATGCCGAACCTTAGCGTAAACTATTTTCCCGCCATGAGTAGTATAGTATGAAAACTATTTCCACATAAACCCGTGTCGATCACAAAAGAGGAGGTCTCAAGTAATGGCAAACGCAGTTCAATCATACACTGCTACAATAAGTCAAAAGTCAGTGTGCATTGTGCAAGTTAAATCACTGTTTTTAAAGAAGTGAATCATTATCTGTTTCGGTCTCGTAGCCCAACGATAACGGAAACAGCGCTCTCAGCACAAGCTAAATTACTCGGTACGCTTGGTGATATTTCCAGGCGAATGAGTTCATTTGCGTTAAACGATGCCCGACAGCAGGCTCTTTTGGGGTTTTTGTGGTTCCCATGCCATATTCACTTAATTCTTCCTCAATAACAGGTGATTCTTGTTTGTTCACGTAGGGGCGTAACGCATTTAGTATATATTTGAAAATAGCATCTGGGTCTGTTTCAGTGCAGATTGCTGTCCTCATTCACTTCAACGAAATCGTGAACTTCTATTCCCTTCTATTCCCTCTGTAATGGAAGATGGTATGTATTTTAAAACAACCTCGTCCTGCTCGAGAGTTTGAAGGTATACAGCATTCTTGAAGCACTTCTGTGTTGTTTCTGGTTGAATTTTGTGCCAAGCGGAAGTTATCCAAAACACAGCATCCAACTCGTTAACTGAAGCAGTAGATGAAATTCTTGTCGCATGCAGATTACTGGGATTCATTTTTGCTGCCACCCATTGCATCAGCTAGGCTCGGTAAAGGGTTTTGAATATTTTGATGATTCCTTTGTCAAGATGTTGAATTTTCGAAGACATATTCGGAGGCAGAACTTTTAGTGTAAGGGTTGTGCGATTATGGACCTCGAATGACTGGGACAACTATCCATTTTCAGTAGAATGCATTGTTTCTTCTTCATCATTTCTGGACGCTTTTTCTGATCCATTCGGCAAATATGGCGGCAGGTAACTCTGCACATTTGCAAATCTCCAAATTACTGAGAGTTCTCAGGACTCGGATTTTGGAACACACGAAGTCCAGCTGAGTAGCCAATGTCTAAATTCTACAGCTTCTCTTCACCTGAGCTGCTGTACAGCATAACCGTAAACATTCTTTGGAATGCATTCCGCCCTTACATTTGTCACGCTTTATGACGAGGTTACTGCCAGGTATCGCTTTGTAAAGGGACCGCACTCGTGAGGGTTAAACGTGTCAACGTAACTGAAACCCTTACTAACGTCGTAAAATTTTTCGGTGGATTATTGAACAAGCTTGTCAGAAACATCATTAGCGTTAGTGGTTGCTGAAATTAGCCAGTTTGCTTTGGAAATCTGTTCCTTTCCAGGTTTGATTTGGTAATTTTATCAGCAGAAGTCATATCTGAATACCTTGTTTGACTAGAACATTTGTGAATCACGTTTCAAATTCATCACTCTGAGATATTATCTGGTAAATCGTGCAAGGACAGGACACAGTCTGAGTACAGTTTTGATAATAGTTTTGTTCTGATATCCTAATATGAAGACGTTAGCCAGGTACTAACTACAATGCATTAAATTGATCGTCCGACATTTGTTATCTTGGAACATTTTACATTCCATCACTTTTCAACAACGTCTTTCAAACGTTTGGATGTGGCATCAGCTGCACTGTCGCCTTTGAAGGGAAAACCTAAAATAAGTTCTTTCCTGAACACTCATCCTCTGCATTTTGCGCCCTTTCAAATGTTTGAGGATGAATTTATCCGGATGCCCATGTGATCGTTGAGCGTCAGTGATTCACTGCAATTTCTCGGTTATGATGTCCGGTGTGCAAATTCTGCCTGCCCAGAAGACAAAAGGGTGGACTAGATTCCGATTGTGCTGTAGGGGTATCGCATTACAGAAATTAGTGTGCTGTCCAGTCCAATTGTGTTTTCTACACAACTTTCCACTGCACGATCTATTGGTGTTTCCGGTAATATCAAAATCCAGGAACGGTAGTCGGTTTCCGGACTTGTGCTCATTGATGTATCGTGGATACTGGTGAGCCCTGTTAAAAGCTGTAAAAACTTCACAGACTGCGCTTTCGATTTGCAGAGTATAAATATGTCATCCACAAGGACCTACAAAGAACATGGCTGTAAAATAAATGGATGCAACTGCACTCACTACCGTGACCGTTGTCCAGTAATGATAGCTGGATACGATGCCTTCACATCCCTGAAAAGTACACATATACCTGAAAAATTCAGACACAAGAAACTGACCTTTTGCTCACCTAGACACTCACAGAGACGGCTCTTCGTGAATCTCCTATCCTCGATTGGCCTCAGCCATTATGGCGGCCCTGACCAAGGTATCTGATCAACTAATAGAAAACGGAAGTCATTTGAGTGCAGATAACCGAGTGTGAAAACAGTCTGCAATCTGTTGTGCCAGTTGTACATTGGTGTACAAACGGATTTTTGACAGTGTTCCAGGACGTGGTGGGTTTTCGCCTGGCAAGCGTTCTCGCTATAAAAAGCCACAAATATCCGTTTAACAACACTGCGACGTGGCGGATCTGACTCGCCAGTGAATAAAGTCACTGCCCACAACTACACACTGACAAGTCGACTAGAATCACAATTCACTATTTTCCTGACACGTTGAAGAATAAGATACTACCTACCTACATGTATCCTTTTCACTACATATACAGTGCCCTGGCTGTTTCCACTGCGCACGCTAGAACCCATCGTATCGTTATTCCTTGAAGACTTTATTCCTCATGATTTCTTTTACAATTTCTGCAGCCTGTACATTTTTCGGTTTACTGCCGATTACATACATAGCAACGTGTTTGTGGCTAAACATAATTGCATGTAAATGTTGATCATGCCTGGTTTGGTGTGTATCGACAAGTTCGAGAATAAACTATTTATTTAGTTATTTAGTTATTAATGAGCTATGATCCAATTTTGCCACAAATACATCTGTTAGAATGGGTCCTAATGGTGATCCCATAGAAACTCCATCAATTCGCTGAGACATCCCGTTGAAGATGAAGTGCAGGTTTAAGGTACATCTGAGTAACGAATCCTTCAGAAGGCTTTCCGGAAGATTTATAGGTACATTCAGTTGCCGTATCAGTTCGCAAGCACAATCTACTGATTCCACTAACGGAACATACGTATAAACAATGAGCGTCAACTGATGACATTCATTGGTTGTTAGGGTTCACTCTCTTTTGCATCTCAATGAACTCGAAAGTGTCTTACACGCAATAACTGCAAGTGGTTTAACACAGTAGCTGCAAATTCTCAATCATCTATTGAGATACCAAACATGTTCAAGATGGGATGCAGTAGATCTCATTCCTTGTGATCTTTATGAAAACCATACAACTGCGGTAGGTGTCCGCCTGAAAGTCTCAATAATTTGCCCTTCCAGAGCAATTCCATATTAGCAAGCTGTAATTCGTTCAAAATACCTAGCTAATATGGCTCTAAAGTGATATATGCATAAACTAGTGATGCACCAGTGAGCGGCGTTTCCTATAAAACGTGTTTTGATGCAGCTGACCAACGGAAATTTAGGGTGAAAAGGTGTGAGATAAGCAGAAACACAATAGGGAGCAGGGATGAATGTTTTTCATGCGTGATCACTCACATCAACCTTCCGACCATGTGGGGTCATCAACAATACGGTAGTACGTACGGTGACAACAGTAACAAACATGAGGTGACTCACTCCAGTGTTCAAAAATTAGGAGGCACGGACAACACGACATGCATTGTCAAAGTTGTATAACAGCCTCTCGTGTTCCGTACGCTTTATCAAACAAAACCGGGTAGAGTCAGCTGGCCGGATAAAATGACGTCGCTGGACAGATCCGGCCAGCGAACCGCAGATTGTTGACCTCTGGTCTACAGACGATGAAGGAACTCTGCCGATTGAGTGACGAACAAAATATGAGACGAAGATTAACCCCCCGCGAGCGCACTCCGACCTGAAAGAGAGTTGAAAGACAGGCCATTCACCGGGCTCTTCACTCACTCAGTAGAACTCTATACAAGGACACAATCTGAGTTGTTGCACAAATTTCGTCGGGAAGAATTTGTTCACAGAACCCCGCTGCCTCGTGGTTTGTAAGTCCTGTGGTCGCATTGCAAGTGCAACGCGGGGTAGCTGTTTGACCGCCCAAGCTCATATTGGAATCCGTGCCGAGGTTGCGTACACTTGCGGAATCAACTGGCATTCCCGTAACACTGACATTGGCTATTTGTGGTTGTCTAATGCATGGTATGTGTTTTATTTTACCTACCATACTCAAATCAATCCAAGTTGATTGCAACAAACTGGAAAGTCAAAAACAACTAACAATAACAAGTGTGGTGCTGATTACATAGACGGTTCATCCACTCCGCGTATTTGTGAGAGTAACGGCGTATTTCTCAGTAGAGAACAATAAATTTGCTGTAACACACACGCGGTCGTTTAAAGTTTTCTAAATGTAACACATTTGATCCCAAGAAACCATTTTACACCTTATTTTGCATAAAATTGTGGCTTTGATAAAAAGGAAGAACTTGTCTCTTGTGTTTGGTAACTAACTATAGGTTTGATAAAATCGGTTGAATGTGTTCAAGTATCTTCACTTTCTGCACCCTGTTCTGTTCCATCGCAGACACATATTTGAACGTGAAGAATTCCTTGGTGGAGTGGTTCTCATATTGCACATCATGTACGTGATGACCACAGACTACGGTAAATACAACTGTTCAGTGCAGAATGGGTACGGTTCCGACTGGAAGCTGATTGAGCTACGTCCTCAAGGTGAGTCAGAGCATACGGTGTTTGAATCAAGATATAGATTAACAAAACTAGAATTTTAATCGCGTTGTTTACTGTGGGTCTAAACATAGTGCGGAGATCTATCTGCTTATGACGTTTGACCACAAAACCAGGATTTCGATTGACTCTCCTGAAAGATATGCAATAGTGAAAGGTTCATTAGCATTCTCAGCATTGTAAAGCAATATAGGCTCCTTTTTAATTTCTAAAGGTTGCGTGCATTGTTTCGTAATTGTGGCATCCCCAGGGCCTCTTTTATCAGTAAACCGATTGCACTCTATCCAAAGGACATTTGACACCGTTCTCTGCGCTCAAGATACATCTTTAAACTTACTGATAGTCTGGATAGTCCATTGTGGCTGCAGACGTCATATTTATGTCAAGCAATATGCACAAGATAGCTTCGTATATGAGATAGATACAGCATACTCCGTGGACAGCATAAAATATTTGCTGCTATCGTTGTAGAAACCATGATGGACTAAAGGATAATTCTAAATATGGTTTAGGTTACAGTTTTGCCAAAGAAGACGTTATGTACTGATCCGCAGCGCTCTTTGTAATGAATATGCATATATTCAACAAGAAGGAAAGTCAATACAAGCTACGGACAGATTGTTCCTACTTATGTTTTACTGAGAATAACTAAGTTAACTTCATTTTTAATAAGGGCCGGAGCATTTAAAAACATTGGTAGTGCAAATTTGTCAATCTGTAACTATGTTCTGGGCAACAATATATCTGGAGTGTTCCAATCCCTATTAATCAGTCAGCCAAAGTAGGATGTTTACTGAGTTGTCGTTATTCCGAAAATAAAAATATACAAAGTTGTATGCACGAATTTTGCCACAGTCTTGCAACACTGTACTACAACACCCTTCCGGTGGATTTCCGTAGCTTGCATACAGAAAGAATTAGTGATATATAGAAACCGCAGTATGCAGTAGATGATGCTTAACGTGATGCTTAAACGGATGAGCAAATTTGCAGTGTTTAAAATGGGAAATGTTTAGTGTGTTGAAAATGTGGTACCATAAAATGATCACTCGTCGGATTTAATAACACATTCGTAAATAATGCCCATAGGAATGTATGAAAACACGCTTGTACAGATACACTTTTTCGGTAACTATCATCAGGCAAATACGTATAGAACGATAACTGGGATAGGCATAAGCTAATGAAAGCTGCGACGAAAGTAGGAGGGAATCTGATTTTATTCGGAAGGAAGTTAAATTCATCGGGCCAGTGTTGTCAACGCAGCCTGACCTTATTTGACCCCACTTGACACAGTACGCTGACCACTCCGCGAAGCAAATCGGGTCAGCAGAGAAGTGATGCCACCTTTTGTCTCATCCATGTCCCATGTGGATGGATCCTTATCACGGCCACGGCAGCGTGAGAGATTGCAGTATCATACTCCGCTTTCAAAGCTTCGGTTGCGTTAATTGATCGCTATCGATTCCGTAATCTTAAGGAGACGTCTCTTAATCCCGTTAGGATATGGTTTTGACACGGTGTAGAAAACGTCGAAAGCATCATTAGTCAGAATTTCATGTCCACTTTGTAACAGATGTTCAAGGATGGAACTTCCGATGGTTCCCTCAGTGTCCTTTCGTAGAGATCCGGGACAGTGCTCAGCTATCCTTGTTAACAGAAGCCTGATTTTATGTCCGAAGCACTTAGTACCACAGGTGCAAGTCAATTGATATACCACGTACGACTCAGACTTGGTCGGTAATCTATCTTTAAGGCGCTGAGTAATAAATAGAGTGGTCACAGCAAGTACGTGTGGATTAGCGGCTGGGTAATTTCTTATCACTGCTGCGGAATGTCTTCTGTTCAGTAGATGGAAAGCGATGTCACCCGTAAGCGGGACCGTGAGAAACACATGCTTTTTTGTATTGTGATGACTGGTGCACTGCGTTCACGAACAACAGCGTGTTTTTTGATAAGTGGGGATAAACGTTTGACAGCAGCGTTTTAAATACGTGTTATATCTCGTCTGCTAGCCTCACCGGGCTGCAGATTTTGGACGCTTAGTAATACATGTAGCGGACGGTTACGTTTATACGGAGGCACAAAACTCTGGAGGTGCGTGTATTGTCCAACCCTACAATCATTCCGGAAGACCCTCCTCTCGAAAGCCGTCTTCCCGTCTCACCAGTAGTATGTCTAGGAAGGACAGTTTTCCTTATTTTTCGATTTCGTTGATGAGCATCACGCTGCTTCATGAACGAAGTGATCTTGTCATCACAGTACCAAAGTGGATTTGTTTCTCAGGGTTCCGTTTAGTGATGACATCGTTTGCCATCTACTGAACAGAAGACATTCCGCCGCAATAATAAGAATATACCCAGCCGCTAATTCACACGTTCTTGCTGAGACCACTCTACTTATTGCTCACCGCGTTAAAGACAGATTAACGACCAAGTCTGAATCCTACGTGGTAAATCAATTTAATTACACCTGTAATGCCTCGGACATAAGGTCAAGCTTCTGTTAACAAGGATAGCTGAGCACTGTCCCGGATCTCTACGAATAGACACTGCCAGAACTATCAGAACTTCCATCCATGAACATCTGTTTCAAAGTGGACACGAAATGCTGACTAATGATGCTGTCAACATTTTCCACACGGTGTCAAAACCATACCCTAACGGGAGTAAGAGACGTCACCTTAAGATTGCGGAATCGATAGCGATCAATAAACGTAACCGGAGCTTTGAAAGCAGAGTATGATACTGCAATCTCACGCTGCCGTGGCTGTGATAAGGATCCATCCGCATAGGATATTGATGAGTCCTAAGGTGGCATCACTTCTCTGCTGACCCAATTTGCTTCGCGAAGTGGTTAGCAAACTGTGTCAAGTGAGGTCAAATAAGGTCAGCCTTCATTGACAACACTAGCCCGAACAATTTAACTTCCTTCCGAATAAAATCAGATTCCCTCCTATTTCGTCTCAGCTTTCATCAGCTTATGGGTATCCGTTTTTCTTGTAAACGCATTTGTCTGATTTGAATGTAACGATTACTTCGAGCCACATATTACAATGGAATATTTATTCACCAAACCTCTTAGCCCGGGCTGGGCAAACTTTCACCTCTTCTAGAGGCTATCAAATTTCACTTTTTCATACTTGACATCGGCTAAATCATTATTAGTCGAAGTGCTGGGTAGAGTTCAGTGCAAGTATGTATGGTTTTTCATAAGTTAATTTTGTCCCCACATTTAATAAATTCAACTACAGGAAAAAGGTTGCCACCATGATCACAAACTTACCCCGAGGCTATTTGTTGAAAAGGTAGTTACATTCCAATTAAATTGCGAATGGATATTTTGCTGTTAATTATCTTTTCTGCTCGATAACTACATCCAAGCAAATAATACATATTTTGAGCTGTCTGTACACTATTTTTCATTAACTTTCAATATTAAAATGAAAACTTTCCGTTATGTATACCTGAAGTATTTAATTCAACGGCCGAATGCCTGAATTTCAAAGCTATGTCAACTGTATCTAACATTGAAACTGACCGACAGAATCTCATGTCTATCATTTTTACTGCAGTGGTCTTACTTGTTTGAAAGTTAAGGCCAGTTATCCGCTAGTTTAACGCAAACTAAGTCGCCAATACCCAAAACAAATTGTCGAGGTGCGTTGTACTATCTTAGAATATCAATCCTCACGATAAATTTAGTGGTAAGAAAACGGGTACTAACTTTCTACTCAGTGATTGGAGAAGACAGCTGCTGTGATATAAGTTCAACCAGTTTAATCAGTATCGATCTAATGGAATTTAACACAATCTGTCACGATTTCTTCGTTAGATATATGGGGAATAATATTAGGTAGGATAGGCATATGAGATAACTGGCACATAACAGCTTATAAAGGTTTCACTAATGTAATCGCGCTGGCCCATGGCTAACCCTAGAGCACGCCGGCGGTTGAGAATTCCGATGCAGATGTGGTGCACAGAAATTTGTTTACGATTGCATAATCGATTAGTATTTACGCCATCAATCAGTATACGACGTGTGTGTGCATCTGTAAAGGATAATGTTATGCGGCACGTTGAAACAACTTTCAGCCAGGGTGATCGAATTTCGCTTACTTATTAGTGAATAGTAAATATGTCTACTCGGGATGACAACGCATTCGGTGCCCTAATTGTGCAAGTTCAGATTCGGATCACAAATACACAGTTATTACTTAAACCATGTTCTACAAAGAAACGAGCCTCGGTTAGACCTACCACAGGGAGCGTGTGCGAAATAGACCTTTCCGTTTTGGCTCATTCCTAGAAATGATCTACACTATCGGCGTGGTCTTCGGTTGATTATTCTGGCAAAAATAGCCGAAGATAGGACTGGAACACAAGACCCAGCGGTTGAAGATTTCCGCATTGACCACAAACCCATTGAGATCAAACAGTAACCTTATGTAGAGCAGCTAAAACGCTGATTTTTAGTTTTGAAAAAGGCGCATTGTGTGATAGGGGAAAATGAAAGCCTTTCACTCCGGGTATTGATTGGTTGAAACAAAGTTAAGTAAAGGAATTTCTTAGTCGGTCGAAAGTAGTGTTCAGGTAGACAACCAACTGACCGACTGGTATCCCTCGGCCAGTAGTGTGCCCCAAGTCTCTGTACTTGTGATCAATCTGTTGTTGACCCAAATAAACGACGTGCCTCGGCTTCCTCGTCCGCCTTGCGCGTTGTTGCAGGTTTTTTGACGGTATGGAAGCAGCACACTCAATGACTGACGTATTTCAACGGGACCGTGAGCGCATATCCATCTGGTCTGCAGAGGTCAACCTTCCGATAAACCCGGTCGGGTCGCTATTCATGAACACAGTGGAACCTACACTGTGGCCGATCAATCGTTCCATCCAGGGACTTTCGTGAGAGATCTTGGTGTACTATCACGCTGCAACTTAGTCTATGGACAACACAAACCGGCTTTAACAAAACTGACTTTATGTGCTTTGGGCACTCAAGCGCGGATTCAGCAATTGGTCCGAAGAGATTGCCCCTTCGTCTCAGTCATGCGACCTATGCTAAAGTACGCCTCACCCGCACACTCTCATATCACCCCGGGGAGAGGTAGGAAAGATTGAGCGGGTACAGCATGTGGCCACAAGACTTATCCCAATTTACGAGGTGTGCTGTACGAAGCCCGTTGGAACAGACCAGGGCTCTATACCCTGTCATATCGTGGACTGAGCGTTAACCTTATCACGACGCATCGGATATTACACCTTTGTGATTACCTCGTGTTGCCGCCGCTTCTCTATGCGCATACCAAGTAGAACGCGAAGACACGGGCACATGCATGCAGTACCGGATTTGAAGTGGGTCGCTCACCAACTGAGTTCCGAACGGAGAATTGTGAATATATGGAACAACTGGCTCCCGCACGAAGTAGAGGCAAAGTCCGGGTCGGAATTCAAAATATTCCTGGACAAACACCGCCGATATGAAATATCACGAGTGCTCTCCAACGTAACAGGTATTTGTACCTGAAGGATTTTAGATAGCAACTACACAGACTTCTTGCTGCATCCATCTATTATTCAGTATTCAACAAGTTTTCAACCTATCACCCTAATGATATACAGTCTGATAGATACAATTGGTTGCCGCATGAAATATTGTTAACAGATAAAGAAAATCGATACTAAAGGCTGCTGTCAGGTACAATATGCTTCTCAGTGTGTGGTATACACACAAAACCGTCCTCTGTCAAACGTAATTTGTAAAAGCTGGAGGATTGAGATTTTAGTCAAACAGTTGTATATAAGCACTTGAGGATGAAAGAAATTTAGACCAAGACCCAATAACTAAATTTATTTCGGAAGCACGTTTGTAGTACGATGATGTCCTTATTCTAACATTCATCTCCGACTTGGGCAATTTAGGGGTAAACTTATCCAAGTCGGTCGTTGAACCCTAGACACTTATGCTGGAGTGACTTTTAGCCGATAAATGCAGGTGCAAAGTTACGTCTGCGAGGTCTGAATCTAGATTAGATGCATTGTGTTTGCAGTATCGATATTCACCATTCATCGGGCTACGGTTCGGCTTCAATTCACTGCGTCTGATTAGAAGATACTGATGAAAACAGAGAATACTAGATGGCTTATTAGAAAATAACATCCGGTGGGAATGTGCACGTGAACTGTTAGATTACATTGCTAAAAGTTATTAAATGAGCACTTTAGTTCCACTTTGCAAAAAGTTTTAAAATTGCAAATGCAAAGTATCCTAATTTTAACATCATTCTCCCCATACTCTTAGAAGATATCCCCCTACAATTTATCATCGGGGCCGCGGTTGCCATTGGAATTCTTTTGATCGCGGGAATTGCCATTCTCTGTGTCTGCAGACGGCGGGTGTGCAATCGCAAATATCGAAAAGGTAGGTGTAAGCAATGGGTTCCATGTTTGCTCAGATTTTCGTCTCGATGGCCAAAATACACTTCTGGCAGGTGTTATTTTAACAAGCCTATTAAAGATAAGTAAATGGTGAAAACACCCTTCATAATCTATTCCTGACGCAGTATGACAAATGTTATGTGGTCGCTTAGTTTCAAAACTTTCTTGCTTACCTAAATTGCGTTTTCGTAAACTGAGCAGAAATCATTTGCCAGGTTGTAGTACATTAATAAATAAATCAATAAGGGTATATTACTAGACTTTTGCTAGAAGTTGTTACTGCAAGATCATTCGGTAGGCTAAGTGAACATTTTGTTGAATATTCATAATCCCTGTGGTTCAACGCTAATCGTCCTATGCAAATTATGACAGCACACCGTTGGGTTTGCAAGAAAATTTCATAGCCTGTGATAAAGTTCCGAAATTGTAAAAATGTAAGCATGCGGACGATAATAAGAACAATATCCACTGCCTCTCGAACTAGGCTTTCTTTACTTAAATATACTGTTTCAGTTATATGACATTAAGGTTTAATAAACCCAATTCCACTCCGCATTCAGCTAACAGCTCTCGGAATCAAATGTGTAACTCGGTGAGGTGTACTCAGCCTCCGCCTCACGATTACGGTGTGATGAACTCAGAGTTCAAAGCTCCCTGCTCAAACTCAGAGGAAACGTGCCGACCCAACTTTTACCCTTGGTTCTCTAGCAATTCTCAACCACAGGCTTCATATCTAAGATGCGGCAATGAAATGGAAGACCGAGTGAGTGAATGCTTGCCATTTTCCTCCCTTGTTTTGGTTGCCTCACACTTACTTAGATTAGACACACCTCGACAGCGCAACTTCAAACATTTAGTTAGTTACTACATGTTGTGTCGCAGCTGACGCCTTCACCCCATGACCGCAAGAAGAAGTCCAAGACGAGCCAGAAGGAGACTTGTATACATGAAATCACAGTTGCTTACATAGTTTGAAGGCAAAATGAAGGGAAGCTACTGAAGTACACTTGAGCCAACCAACTGAAGGAAAAACGTCAAATGCAACGGCGAATAAGCAACCGTGTACTCAAGAGCGAATCGCGTAGGTCCTTAAAAATAGCATCATTGAACTCTGTGTAAAGCGAACGTCCAGGCACTGGCCAATCAGAATGACGAAATGAAAAGTTTAAACAAAAGTCACGAAACAACCGAGAATAAGGAATGCAGACCCGAAAGTTGAAAACTAGTACAATAATTATGTGACAACTAAATAATCCTTTTACATAACCAAGAAGAACAGTGACGAGAAAAAAACCAATGGAATATGTTCTTGCAAATGGCGCTGCTGAGAAGGACATGACGATGAGCGTCCATTAACAATGACGTGGATGTACCAGTCGGGCTAAGCCAGTAGAGCGTTTAAACAACAGTCAAGAAATAGAAAATAGGAAGAGTAAAGAATAGCTATCAAGCTCGTTCACAATAAATGAATGTCTAGTAGCTGTTCTCCTAATACTATTGACATAACATGAAACGGATTTTAAAATGGGCAAAGTTGGGCCAAAATAGCTACAATTAGTGTCAGAAGACTTTGGTTATTTTTGTGATGCAGGCATGTCAGATCGGTTAAACGTATGAATAATAGTTGGTTTGGGGTTTTATCTAAGTTGATTTTGCAATCTTACAGTAGTATACTAAGCTTATTCCAAGATATTCAAACTCACAGACTTGTTTTTTGATTCTTCTGTCTACATATTTCGTTGCACCAGAAATGTGAACTCAATTTCCCAAGACAGTTCTTTTGAGTACAAACTTACGAAGCCCATCCCTGTGAAACCTGGATTGAATTGTTACAAAACTAATCAAGGAATGGTATAGGATTTTCTATAAAAATTCTATTTCAGTTAATTTGAGTAGACCTATTTCTGGTAATCAATCGTCTGGTTACTTTATAGCGCTCACCGAGAAGTGGTGCCAAAACGAATACAGACAACTGCACATTGGAAGATTTCAACGTAGATGCCTACAACAACTCGTAAGTGAACATGTCAATTTCGTTTAATTCGGTTTTCCATGTAAGGGAAATGAATCACTGTGTGTCGTACTTTGGACTGTTTTATCGTAAGATGAGATACAACGAAGCCGTCGGTCAGCGGCCCTTTCTAATCGCTCATCAATATATACTACTTTTGAAAAGTCAAGCCGACTACAGAACGGCCATAAACTTTGCCCTGACCAATCACGACTGTAGATTTCCTGGACTGTGTGAAACAAAAAATCAAATTGGACTGAAATATGATAACAACTTAATATCTGTATGATGCAAATAGAAATTGAGTGTTGCCCGCCCGAAAACACTGCACTACTATGACGCGTTTCGATGTTATTACATCTCATCTGATAGAGTTAGCAAGCATCGAACCCGGGACCATCGGGATGTTAGTTGTGACCGCTACCCATAAGCCACCGGGTCACAGGCAACGCCTGGCACAACGGTGTAATGAACGATGTTGAGGGTCCGTTTGAAGTATACGTTGTGTGGATGGACTGCGACTCGCAAATTCAATGCTGACGGCGATTCCCATTGAAGTGAACCTTGGTCTTTCGATCACGAGAACCGTAGCTGATGCAAAAGAGTTAGCAGGCATCGAACCCGAGACCATCGGGATGTTAGTTGTGACCGCTAGCCGTATGCCACCCGGTCACGGGCAACGTAGTTTCTGTTTAATCGCAAGCAGGAATGGAAGATAAAAGTAGGCTTTTAGTTAAACTTGGACCTGGCGATTTCCAATAAAAGATAGCACCATTTTATTTTTACCTGTCGAGACATATGCAGTTTTCGGCCTAAAAGGACATATCTGTTGCGGCTTCAAATCATTTCCAATTGGCGCGATTCGTTAACGAGTCTTTACGCGTTCTTGTGTGTATTTTCAACTGGTTTTTAGGCCGTATGCGAACGGACACTTACATCTACCTATGATATCCATTTATATTTGCTGACAAGAATATTCCGTTAAACTCAGTCAATTATTCGACCAGAATTTCCATTGACCACGAAACAGTTATCACAAGTAGTGGGAGTTGTACTAACAAAATAAATCTTATTTTCTTAACTGATTCCGGGCTCTTTGAGTTTATCCAGAATTTATCACCAAATTTCATCATGAAACATTTCGTTCTATTTAACTATCCGCCGCTTTTATCCCTCTACTATTTAGTTCTCTTCCCGCTGGACTAACGACCACATATTATCCAAACATATCGTCCTGTCAAATGATTCAACCACTAAGCAACGGGGGAGGAGGTTATTTATCGGCCATTGATTCCCGCCTATTGACTACTGCACATTCACCATACTTCTCTGGCTGTCCGACCGTGTTCACCGGAGCAGACATGGTACCTGGATCGTTGCATTCTCGTCCGGATTTTCTACCCGAGACAATCAGTTTGCAGCCTTACGGCAAGTGTGACGTTATCAGCGGTAGCTGTTTGTATACAACTGACAGCGGACAACTCGTTGCCACAGTGCCTCAGATAACCACACTAGATTTGACTAATGGCATTCCTGCACGACTGACGTCACACAGCGTGTATTCGGGTGACGGAGGCAGTGGTAGAAGCTCCCTGGAACACAATCATTTATCTGCATCGATTCCCAGCAAATGCGAAGTTATAGACAATACTTCATCGCCCAAATACGTAGATCTGCAGCGACCAGTTACTCCGAGTGAACCGACCCACTTAGGCGTGCATGGAATCGCGTACGTAATCGATGGTCACACGACAAATGTGTAAATTTGCTAAAACGTGTGTCAATGGTATTTTCGGACCCCGTACTTTCACGTCTTCCTTTACATGTGAGCCGGTTCGAGTCCTCCTTGAACGATTTGACACATAGTACATTTTCGAAGTGCCTTAAAGGTGTCCTGCCTCCATTATTTGATGTACACAATGCAGATGCATACCGCCACAAGATTACCAGTCTTCCATGGTGTCTGTTTCTTTTGTATTAAGTTTTATTTTGAACTCACGTAGCAGCACATGTGCCAAGCTGCGCTCAATTCTGAGCAGAAATGTATTTTGCTCATTTTTCTCAAGCATTCTGTATGGAACCGTTATGGGCCAATGGATGCGCAACATTTAATGATTCACTGCCTATGGCCTTGTAATATGATGGAGAAAACCTTATTGTGTAGATAAATTTTGCAAATGTATGATGTGTCTAACAATTTTATCGTTCATTTCGGAGAAGTTTACGGTTGCAATGAGGTACTATGACAGAATGCATTGGACGGTTTCCTCAAATAATCCACTACAGACGAAACATCTCAAGACCCTGCGCATTAATGTTTTCGTCATATATATATATATATATATATGTATATATATATATACATATATATATATATATATATATATAAATGGCTGGCGGCATCCGGTTTCGGATTTGCCTGTCACTGTGGCCAGCCACAGAACACCTGCGTCTACAGAGGGACTATGGGTGTCTTGCGCTGCACCACCCACAGCTCCAATCAAGCAAAAAATATCCAGTGTAAACCCGAAGGAATAAAATTGGGAGCCATGTGAATGGGAGCCACGTTTTATCAACGGAGCCGGCCCACACTAATTCACAGGCAAACACAAGCACACTGTATTTGGGAAATCAAGCGCACACAAGGCGGTAGCTAGACCGTAGTCCGCTCCACACTGAGTGCATGGAACCGCTCTTCGAACCTAGCACGACCACAAGGATCGTGCACCCCGTCCACTCCAGCAACGACCAACTGTCTCTTGGAGCCGGATGGACGAAGTAGTGGGTAATAGACAGGTAGGCACATTGTTAACATGCACATCAAGCGCAGCCACACCGGGGATATCAAGCAACAGCCAATCACGGCCAAACGACAAGAAAAAATAAAGCAAATCCAATAATGCATACAGCTACGGTGGCGTAACTTTTCGCTAAATTGATATATGAAGTATGTTGGTTAGCAACCAATCCGCGATAACGAAAAAGTCTCCACAAGTTAGTTAATAATGTTACAAAGGCAACAAAATTACCGAAGATAAGCGCAATTAATGTAAGCAACGTGGCCAGTTAATAGAAGATTATTCAGGTAAGCAGAACAAACCAAATAAAGTGGAGTGAAATTTAGCCAGCTTAAAAAGGCCTAGTTTAAGTGTAAGTTGGTTCAGCCCAACTGCGGTGAAGAAGCATCAAGAACGCAACATCAGACTCAGCAGAGGTCATATATATATATATATATATATATATATATATATATATATATATATATGCTGTGCCTCATTCTGAGGTTGATGTTGCATTCATAATGCTTCTACACCGTTGTTGGTATAAACCGAAGCACACTTAATCTAGGTCATTTTACTCGGGACAAAAGTCATACCTCTCTATTTGGTTTGTTCAATTCTGTTTTTCTGCCGTATATTCTGTTTCAGTTTACGTTTAAACTTTCCATTAAATGCTGTTGGTTGTTTGATATCCCCAGTGTTGCTGCGCTTGATGTGAATGTTGACAAGTTGCCGACGTGTTTAACACACGGCACCTGGAATACCACCTCCAGTAGAATGTGAATCGTTGCTGCGAAAAGGGGTGCACGGTCCTCGTAGGCATGATTAGCTCAAGAAGTGGTTCCATCCAATATGGAGCGGATTACGGCACAGCCACCAACCTGCGAATGTCTGTTACGTCTGATTCCCCACATAGCTGGAGAGAAATGCTACTGCTATGCATGTTGAAGGTATGTGGGTCGGCTCCTTTTATTAACAGTGGCTGCCATCCACCAGTCTCCCTGACTTATACCCTCTGGTTCACACTGAATATGAGTTTTTTGGATGGAGCTGTGAGTTGATGCAGCGCAGGCTACTCCTGTTCACTATATAAACGCACGCGCAATGTGGCTGCTCAATGCAGGCCACAGTTAAAGGCAAATCCTAACCGGATAGGACCAATCATATATATATATATATATATATATATATATGCATGTGGGGACCGATCCTCACAGGTGGTCTACCCACTGCTGTTAATGTTGTGCCGTGGGCTCATGTGCTGGACGCCTCTTCATTGCGACGCTGGGGAGATTGGGTTACGCCCTTCTTTTAGGTAAGAGCCAGCAAGCTCCAATCCGCCCGAGCCAGAGAAACTACCATGTGGTATACCCGATGCCTTTCAAGTGTACATTTAATCGAAGACTTTGGCTGAGTATCCGAATCGTTCTACTGCCAAGTTTTGGCACCATGCCGGTATCCTAGTCGAAACCCATCATCTTCTGAGGTAAGCAGTGATCGACGGCTCTCTTACTTTAAAATCTAGCCATTGGAGATAGCAGGCCCACCGGTTCTAAAATCACCGCACAATTGGCGTAGAGCATCAGCGCCACACATTGTCTCTAACGGTGGGAGGGCACCTCTGGTTGCAAAATGGTTTGCTACAGTACGCCTCAAGCTAGGCAGCCCCTTTTCGAATTGGGGCAAACCTGCCAAATCCTTCTGCGTCTGGCCGTGCTCACAGGTCTGTATCTTAATAAGACAGCAAAGTAATTTTGAATTGTTCCAGGTTAACAAAGTCTGTGTGACGCACCACAAGCAGATCCCAACGGGGCTTTACACTCGCACTCGAGAGTTACATCTGCTCCTCACTGCTTTGTGGGTTACGTTATTTAGCAAAGGCTCCGAGCGAAGGCCCTCAAGCAAAACTCCATATCACCCACTGCCTATGGGTCAGGCTAATAAGCTAGAGGCTCGGAGTAAAATCCCTCAAGCAAATCCCTTAAGCACAAATAACACCGTGCGTTCGATTCCAGACCAATGCATTCGTATGTGGGCGCGCAATAATTTTTTTACATAAGGTGCTGAAACGTGCGCGACATACAGGACCGAAATTCGAATGAACGCCCACAGCGGCGCACTGCATTGGTTGCAATGGAACTAGCGCGCTACAACATCGATACGTCATCCCTCTTACCAAAGCAGTCTGTAGTCCCTGAGATTGTACAGCGGTGAATATCCACGTCAGCGAGGAGACCTACTCATGGTTTAGTTAATACTGACGAACCCAACTCAGCCATGTCGTAATCTGTTGTATCCGAGCCAAAATATCAACCTCAGAGGTCATCAGCTCAAACTGGCTACACACTACAGTCAGCTTGATTGTCGAAGAAACCTTTTATTCCTGTGTCTCCACTGCATGGAATGACCTTCCGACTCACCCTATCCTTGTCCCTACATTAAGGCTTTTCAAAAATGGCCTTGCAGAAACGCTTTCAAATTTACGTTAGATGAGATAGTGCGTTCCACTTGAAGGACGAAATAACGCAAACCTAACCATGTGTTTAACGCCACTCTCCACAAAGTGGCGGTGAGGATCCATGCAGAAGAGTCCGTGTGATTAGGCTGGAGGTAGGTAAATCGGATTAACATAACACATCTGTCAAATGAAGAAACGAACGCGTGAGCGTTGTCGTTTCCTTTTTTTCTCATGTACCTACTGAACTATAACAGCGCTCTGTACTGTTTTTTTGTGTGCACATCCCATTCCCACTTCAAACTATCGTTATGCAATACTGCATTTAACTCGGTGGACGCTTGAAATAACGATTTACCTATTCGATGATCCTCTAAATGTTAATTATACTCCAACCATCCTACGGGACTTGCCAAGCACATGCTTATTTTGCCTGTGATAAATCATTGTTCATCGATCATTACGGCGCTCAGCGAGACTCGCAAACTGAGCAAAATACGTCGCATGAAGATGGTGCCGGTTATACGTTCCACTGGGTAGGAAAGACCACCAGAACACCACGTGAACATGGTAGCGGATTCGCAAATCCGCTCGCCTGAACGGTCAGCTGGTGGGTTAGCCGACCGATAAAAGCGTTGAGCGATTATTGGCAGATCATACACCATCCAACTTTTGGTGAAATGTCACCATCTTCTTTGTGCTACCATATGTAGAAACCTACAAGTGCCTTCACTTTAGCAACACCTGGGGGTGAATCGGGAAGTTCTTCTAACATGGTTGTTCGCAGTCGCTCAGGGACGGCGACTTTTGAGCCCCACATCAAACATCCGTTCTGGGGACTGAGTTCAGCCGTTGTATTCCAAAAAACTACTTCTGCAGACGACGCCATTTGTTTAAGTCCATTTGCGTTTCCAAGGAGCGACATAAGGGGTTTATAATCCCTTGTGAATCCAGACTTACTGGCCGAGTGGGTATTGGTGGATTAGGCTGTTAATGAAATAAACACGGCAGCCTCAAATCCACCTAAGGGTTAGTTAGCTTCGGCTGCGCGAAGGATGTGTGAAATGTAAGCACTAGGTTGCTGCCAATCATGAGTTGCTTGGTGTAGCAGAAAAGTCCCAAGGTCTTAAGGAAATGCATCATATGGGAGGTCATACAAGTATATGAATCATAATGTGCAAAGATATCCACCGATGCTACGGGTATCCTTGGAACGCTGAAAATATTCTCCTGAACCGAATTCCATTTCCCTGGTTGATACTTGTGCAACAGATGAGGAAGCAAATGCAAAAGCATTTGTGCTTTGCAATACTTTCGGGTTGTTTTCGTTGAAATATTATAGATGACAATGTTTGGATGGCAATTTGTGACATAATTGTACTGTTGTCAAATTTTTCCCTATCCAAGGTAACTTGAATCGGTTAAATTGGTACCAGACCAATGGTTTCGTTGACACTTTCATGTATTTTCTCCACTTGTTCCTAATTTCAGTATCGTTTCGCAGGCTGTTTCTCCTTTTGCT